GCAAAAACTAATGAAAAACTAAACAACAATATTTGGTATTCAGCCAAGCGTTTAATATTATTCGGCTTCGGCCACAAATTTTCATTTCGGTGCATCCCTACTATGTAATACAATTGTTTCTTTTTTTGTCCATTTTAATTGAGATTGTTATGTCCTGCTTTGTTGCTGTAGCCCACAGACAAAGTTAATACTCTTCTAAGTCCAGATACGAACAACGTGGATCAAAGACTCGTGTTTTAGTTATTAAAAATACATTAATCATCATATTCATTCAACAATTTCTTTAGCCACTTGCCCTGTTGGGGGGGCTGGAGCCTATCCCAGCTGACATTGGGAGGGAGGTGGGGTACACCCTGGCCAGGTCACTAGACAGACACATAAGCCCTGTTTCCACCGAGCAGTACGGTACGGTTCAGTTCAGTACGCTTTTTTTCCCGTTTCCACTGTGAAAAGTTGTGGATGGTACCAATGGAACCGTTCTGTACCAACCCCATTTTTCGCTACCCCCCTATTAATTTTGGCCAGGTTATGTGACAGAATATATTCTAATCCTCAAAGTCACGTAGCGTCAGACTACGGCAAAACTAAACCCCTGAGCTCGCCTTAGAAGGACTCATTTTTAAATATCTCATGGAGACAGACTCTCACTGCAGCCTGTTTAATTTTGTTCTGAAAATGTTGGCGTGCAGCCTCGTTCTGTGGACGATTAACGAGGCGCAGACTTCCATCTGTGTCACTGATATTGAGGCGTAGAGTAGAAGTATGAGGTTGCATGAACTGGAAATATTTAGGTAAAGTACCCCAAAATTGTCCTTAAGTACAGCATTTGAGTAAATGTACTTAAGTTACGTTCCACCTCTGATCAGTATATATTTAACATCACATATTTAGCATCACAATTTACTATACGTATTTGACCTCATTATTACTTTTATTGAAGCAGCTGACGGAGTCTACCTGAAGATAAGCCACCTCCTCTGAGTGTCAGGAGTCCTGGACTGATAAAAGCTGCATAAAATCAACTTGATAGTTGTTTCTGTCTGTCATTTAAAAAAAAATCGAGTGTCCCAAACAGTCAGTGGAAAGTTTGGTTGAGAGTTAACCACAGCTGGCAGCTACAGCAGCTTTACAAAGACAACACATGCACCAGCGTTAAATCAATACAACATTTGCAGAGGCATAGATGGGCGTCCTGAATACAGACGTCAATATGTGTTTGTTCGAGAACACACAGCAGCTGGAACATACACAATCAATACACAGACAGAAGGAGGAAAGTGTGTTATCAGCCCTCCACCTGATCAGCTGCACATCCTGCAGATGTGTACAGTAACCTCACTGCTGGAGGAGAAAATAAAGTCGACCTTTGAGCTGTGAAGCGTGACGTGTGTGCAGCTCCGAGGTGTCGGTGAAGCTGAGCGATAAGAAGCAACATTTCTACACTGCATCCCTTAATGTGTGTGTGTGTGTGTGTGTGTGTATCTGTGTGTGTTTTCTGTGGTGTTCAGACCAGACTGATCTCGCTTCGCACACAACCTAAGATATATTTTTTTCCTGTGCAGCCGAGTGAGAAGTGTTTACATGTGGCCCGTACAGCACTGACGGCAGCGCGGTCTGTCTGAGGAACCAAACGAAGCGCTCAAAGGAGGAAAGTTGCATTCATGCATTTCATGCTGATGCGTTCAAGAGACACATTATGCTGTCAGCACATCCCTCCGTAACACTCACTCTCCCTCCATCTCCCATCTCCTCTGCCAAGCTGCTATCTCAGATAGATAACAACACAAAATTCCACATGCGCATAAACTGAAATCTGCAGGCTCTGTAGGTTATAATGGAGGATTTCAGCACACACAATATTTATTACACTAACCAATGCAAGCTGTTCTCATTCACTGTTTGTACTCACACCACAGGCTGTTAAAATAATGGACGCAGCCACCGTGACATCACCCATTGGTTTGTGGACTCCAGTTTTGAAGCCTCGAGTTTGGCATTTCAAAATTGCTTCACTTTTTGGAGCCAAAAGTGACCATATTTGGAGGAGACGGTGGCACTGTGGAGGAGCATCATGTGGATCTGACTGAGAAGCCAAATATTGGGAAATTAGCTATAGAGACCAAAACCATTTTAACATGGGGGTCTATGGCAATTGACTGGCTTCTGGAGTCAGCCTCAAGCAACCGTTCAAAGGACTGCAGTTTTTGGCACTTCTGTATTGGCTTCATTTTTCAGCCCCGGACGCTCGGATCACGAGCTAGGAGGTAGGGCCAGGCAATTAATCAACAATTAACTGAAACCTGTAACGGATGTAATGCTGTCCATGTAGGTAAATTCATTTGTTAAATATTGTTAATGCTTTCCCCACAGTGTGTTCTTGTACTGTCTCCTTAAAAACATACTAATGCGTGAGTAGTCACATGACTCAGCCCCGTCCAGTCCAGTCCACAACCTGGACGCAACATGGAGGAGAACTCAAACACCGAGCCAGCTGAGCAACTTGAGCAGCTTGTGCTCCTGCAGAGAAACGCCGTGTCCGTTGCACATTTTAGCTTTCGTGAAGACGACACCGAACAGAAGGAATATAAAATGTAAACACTGTGGAAAAACAGTTTCAGCAACCAAAGGTAACACCACCAATCTGTCTCAGCATTTGAGCACAATCACGTTACTGAATATGAACAGTCAAAAAAAGAACCAAGCAACAAGTGCCTCCACACAGCAGCTCTCGATAACACATTTACAAAGGCTACACAATATTAAAAATATTCAACTTCCACTACATCGTGAAGGATATGGCTCCCATAGCGACAGTGGGGCACAGTGGGGTTAAACACCTCGTTAAAACCCTCAACAGAAGACACACTGTGCCATCGCGAAAATATTTACCAAACTGCAGTGCCAAACATGTAAAACTGATGTCATAAAAAGCAAGTGATGCCAGTTATGTTTTACTTTTAACACGGCATTATCTTAAAAAATGTTTACAAGAGATGCCAGTTATTATTTTCTACTTTTGAAATGGCAATATTTAATTTTTTTTGTTTGCAAGGGATGCAAGTTATTCATTTCATACTGTTTTAGAGAACTTGGCTCTTATTTTAGAAATAAAATTTTGACATGACAATATTTAAAATAATTCATTTTGTTTGTAAGAAATACAAGATATTTATTTTCCACTTTTTTAACGGAGCTTGCTTTTTGGATTTAAAATTAAATGTGACTTTTTTTGTAAGACAATTTCATTTAAAGTGATGCGTGCTTTGATTTCAATTTTGAAATATTCAATAAATAATCCTATGTATTTTATCTGTGTGTGTTTCCTTCAGTTATTTTAATATCACAAAGATAAGATATGCACTCTTTCATTAAAAAAAGTATCCTAGCTTTAATAGTTTTGCATATTTACAGTAAAAACATTGTCAGTGAACTATGAGGGCAAAAACCAAACAAAATAATCATCCTCCAACATATGATGGAAGCAAAGGAGGAAGTCAGGTCGTGTAGTATAAAGAGCGACAACGTCTACATAGGGAGCAGACACCCAGGAACCCAGCTCAGCCTTGCATCCAACTTCTTCCCAGTGGCCACTTGTGATATTGCAGAAAAAAAATCCCCTGCGACCCGAAAATCATTCTCCTAATAGACCACCACTGTAAGAGAGACCTCTATAAAACCATCAACATGGTCGATTACGACTCTTTCTATTATTATTTATTCATCTATGGAGGTTTCGTGTTTTTAAAACCTCCCTCGAGCCAAGAAAAGTGATTTAAAAATCTATGACATCATCACAAGCACGAACTCTTTGGCGTATGCACCATGCGAGCAACTCCATTGGTCTGAGTAGGCACCATCTTGAGGTCTGCCACCAAGTTATTGTTATACATCTACAATAAGGAGGTGGTGGATTGAGCAAACATACTGGGACTTTGACCCTGGAGACCGAGGTTGAGTTATGTTAAGTAACATACGTAATGTACGCTTACGTAACAATGCCCAACCATGATTATTTTCCCAACCCTAACTTGTAGGGGTGCTTTTCCATGTGATATATGAACCACAATCATACCAACCATTATATAAGGATACATTAATCAGTTATAGCCTGATACTGTCCTGTGCGTATCAATTTGCTGAGCCAAAAAGCCAATAAGCAGTGTTGTAAACTCCCACACAACAAAACTATAGATCATATTTTAATAGTTTTTATCAAATACCATCACAGGTAAATCAAATGAAGCATATAATCACAATCAGAAATGAAAACTCTCAGTTATTTATTTGCAGTGTTTTCAGTGTGATGTGACCCCTTGTTTTATCTCTGCTCTGTGGCCAAAGTGAAATCGGTCACTTCATCTGATCAATATGGAGCCTGTGACCTGATGATAACGTCAATAATAATGTAACGATAATGTATGTGATCTGATATACAGCTTAGCAAAACTGATAAGAGACTGTATTATGAACGTCTGAGAAAATAACCTTGAGGTGTTGGAGAGCGCACCGAACTTTGTGTAAAAAAAATGTGTATTTAATATTTATGTGCTGCCTGGCAAATATAGGTACCCTATACAAAATAAAACCAAACTGTTTACCCATTAATATGACTTGTAACTCAATTGGGCACCATTTTAATTACCACAGAAGGTTTTCTTTTGAACATTTTGTAACTGGAGTTATTTCATTTCAGCTGTTGCAGCTGCTGCATCCACAGCGCGTTTCAATGAAAGAACTCGGTCAAGCCAACTCTCAAATGAGACACATTCGTTACAGTCTTTGCTGCTTTGTTAATTATATGTGAGCCGAATTAAAGAGACATTTATTTCGGTGCTTTTAAATTACTACATGGCGGTGTACATTTATATTTTTGGGCCAATGAGCGTGTAAATGTTAAATTGCTGGTGATTTCTATGGGGTCTGGTTTTAATCTCTGAACAAAAGTAAGCAGTTTCCACACCTCCGGAGCGGAGCACGGAATAAACTAGAAAGTTACTCACCGTTGGGGCGGCCGAGGCGGGAAGCTGGAGCTCCACGAGCCGGTACGCATCCACCGCCGAGCCGTTGCCGCTCCACGCGGATGCTGCTGACAGCGCCAGGGTCTCCGTGTTGCGCGCCGTGCAGTTCGCCTCGCGGTCGCTGCACGAGATGATGCTCTGCCGCGCGGACCGCAGCAGCTCGCTCTTCCCGCCGTTCATCCTCCTCCTCCGCCCACTCTTCCTCGCTCCTCCTCACGCGCTCTGTGTAGGAGGAGGAGGAGAGAGAGACGGTGACCGGATGTGCAGCAGGTGTGCAGACAGGTGTAATTAAAGGTGCGTTTGATTAACATGAGCAGAGTCAGTTAAATTAAGCTATGGTCATAAACTGACCCTCTGTGCGTTTGCAAAATGTCAGTGGTGGAAAATATTAAGTACGAATACTCAAATACTTTAGGCTACTGCTACTTCATACTTTTACTCTCCCAGTTTGTGGCTCCCAGTGCTCCCATTACCACTGGCACCACTGATGCCTTTACTCCCCACATCTTTTCTAGCTCCTCTTTCAGCCCTCAATATTTTTCAAGCTTCTCCTGTTCCTTCTTCCTGATGTTGCCCTCTGTTGCTCAGGATTGCTACATCCATCACCACTGCCTTCTTCTGTTGTTTGTGGATCAACACGATGTCCGGTTGGTTAGCCATCACCAGTTTGTCAGTCTGGATCTGGAAGTCCCACAGGATATCAGCTCGGTCATTCTCAACCACCTCAGGACGTGTCTTCCATACTGACCGTGGGACTTCCAGCCCATCCATGAACGCTCTTCCTGCCTGCATCTTATAACCTGCTTTTATGTGCTGAACTGTCTCAGGAGCATCTTGGGGTCCTGTCTGCTGTGGAAGACCCTTATTGCTTCTACTGATCTTGTACTGAGTGCCTGTTCTTGTGCTGCCATGACTAGTGCTTCCTTGCTGTCCTTCAGTCCAACCTTTTCCAGGCACTGGTAGATCTCTTGATGTCGGCCACTTCCTCAGTCTGTCAGTGGTACATGCCGTGCAGGGGCTTTTCCGTCCATGATGGTTCGTCCTCCTCTTCTGCTGCCTGAGGTATACACTCAGCAGCTCATCTTTTGAGGTCATCTTCCTTGGTTTCGGCTCACCAGTTCTCGGCCCCCCTCGTTCTGCTTTGTGTTCAGTCTCAGGGTGCTGGACTTCGGATGAAACCCTCCATGCATTATGAGAAGCTTCCACGTCTTGATATCAGTGGCTTCAATGTCTTGCTTTAGTCAGCTCATTATACCAGCAGGGTACCTGATGACTGGTAGGACGTACGTGTTGATGGCTCGGACCTTGTTCTTTCTGTTCAGCTGGCTTTTCAGGACCTGCCTTATTCTGTGTATGCATCTGGCTGTGGCTGAGAATAAATGAGTGTACTGAAGAATATGAATTTAAGCACCAATATTGCACAGTATTGCACAGTTAAGGCAGCGTTACAAGGAATAATTATACCCAAACATCAATCCTGTACCTGATCTGTTCCTGCGTTTTTGGTACCTGCTCCTGTTTTGACCTATTGCCGCTTCCTGACTTGCTCACCTGTCATACCCCCCTTCAATTGTTCGCGTGTAACTGTTCCTGATCATTGCCTTGCCCCTCATCATACCTGCCTTGCCTTGTCTGTGTCCTCCTCTCTTTGTTGCCAGTTTTCACTGGTAAGTAATAAAGTTGAGACGCAGAAGCAGCTTCAGTTTCAGGGTATTTTAGTGCCTCAAACTTCCAAACACATCAGTAAGCTCCATCTGTACATTGATGCTCTTACATCAAAATCCACATTCAAACCTGCAGGATAAAGGAGCAACTCTTATTATTTCATTGTGTTCGTTGTGAGTCGAGTACGTATATACATCCACCATCAGACTGCAGGATTCACTTTCACTTCACACTACATAAAAAGAATCTTTGCATTATGTCTGACTTCTTTCACTAAACCCAGAAAATGAAAAGATCTGCTAACAACAAGAGCCCGGTGTTTTTTTTCCCTCCAACTGGAGGGAGAAATGCTTTTATTTCATATAACTGTATGATGAGTGCTGAAAAGACAGGCGGTGTAAGGAAGCAGACAGTGTAGGTGGATTAAATAAAGCCAGAGGGGCTTCAGAGAGCGTCTCACCTCAAAATGAGGACAGACATTAGCACGTAAAGCTGTTGTGACTGATAACACAGTGTTAAAAGACATTAGAGTCACATTTAAATGTTTCAAGGTTTAATTCAGTTTTTATCTTTTTTAATATAAAAAGTTTGTGCAGAAAAATAACTTTTAAAATCACTTAGCGTGGGTGGTTTCTTTATCAACACGAATACTTAAATATTCAAACTGATTCATAATATTTTTCACAAACTGGCTCAGGGAATGTGATGATTAAGAAGTCCACACAAAAAGATTTAGTTTCAACCAGAACTCATTAAGGTGTTGAGGTGAGTTGATAGCACAAAACCAAAAAGCAGTGATGCTAGGTGGACGTCTGCTGCAGGAGGGGAGACACTGGGTGAAAACATGAGGCAGCTTTTACAGCCGGGAAGTTCCCAGGTGAGCTCAATCGAGGTAACGACCCTCTCATGTCAGCCGACTGCCTGATGAGGCCGGGACATCCTCCAAGACAGTGAGAGGGGCATCACACATTTCAGAACACTTCCTGATCAAACAGCTCATGTTTTAAGGACAAAATGTATGTTATGTACATTTATAAAAGGTAAACTGTCATTTTAGGAATCAAAATTTCAACATTCATGGACGTATTTGGTATTTTCATTCAGCTTATTATAAGCATTCAAGCTTTGTTTGGACCTTCGGGCCTGGTCTCACTTTGAAGTCATTGAAATCCAGTGCTTGGGCAGCGACTTGCGGCATCAGAAACCAACGAAAAAAGGCTTCCTTTAACGCCAAAGTGATGCGCAGCCAGTTGTCGTTATAGTTTAAAAGCGCCTGGCAGCGTCAGAGGGAAACGCAGCGGGACAAGGACCAAAGTTAAGGTGGCAAAAGTCTTAGTGGGGTGGGTGGGAGCTGTGGTGGATGGGTCCAACAAACACTAGCCATGTTTCCATCAGCCTGTTTAGATGCGCATCTAGAAGTATTGCATCAGAAAATTATGATGGAAACGCCAAAATTCGAATTAAAATCCCTTGATTCACACAAACTAAAATACGCTCGCTTTAGCCGTGTTTTGGTTGATTCGAAAAAATGTTTATTTGCAAAACGGGGGATGGAAACAGTTATGTTGGAATTAAGTCTGACGTAGCGCACCTCTCTCCATGGTGATATCCACACTCAGGGTCGGAAAGGCGGTAATGCATTTACAAGCTGGTTGCCAACCTCCAGAAAACGTAGAAGAAGAAGAATGCGAGACTTGTTTTTTTTCCGGTTCTGCGGAAAACTCGCACAAGTTCGTGGTTTTCACCAAAGTCCGTACATTTAATGGAAACACACAGGATTCGTATTTCTTTTAATGCGCGTTTCCCAGTGATTTGAATCACTTTTGGATGGAAACATAGCTACTGATTTTCACCCAAGAGAGCGGTGTTCGTGTACCATAAGATTCTGAAGCCAAACCCTGTTGTATTGTCCAAAACCTAACCATGAGTTTCTGCTGTTAAAGGAAATAAACGTACTGACGTAGTGCGTTTATCTTGAAAGAGACTGTATGTAAACTGTAAATTTCCTGTGAAAACAGAAGTGTATTTTGAAAGAAGACAATGCATGTAACATGCAGAACTTGACATGGTGTCCCAGAACGTCAACAACCAATGCACCCAGGGTACCTTGCACGTCGTATGTGGACGTGGAAAGTCCGTGACCAAACGTCGATATGTGACAAGGTCAGAGTGAGAATGTGTTGGCATCAGCAGACCTGAGAATATGAGAGGTAGTGTGCCAGTGGAGGAGCCAGATTGTGGAGGGTGTTATAGGTGATGATGAAGAGTTTGAAGTGGATGCGCTGTGGAGTGAGGAGTCAGTAGAGGTTATGAAGGATGGGGGTGGTGTTGTTACAGGTGCACAGAGTATGTGAGAAAAATGAGCAGCAGAATTCTGGATGTGTAGTTTCTTGAGTGTTTTGGATGATGAATCACAGAGGAGACTGTTGCAGTAGTCCAGTCTGTAAAATGATGAATGCGTGTCTGAGAGTCTCTGCAGCTGGAAAAGTGATGGATGGACAGAGGTTGGCGATGTTACTGAAATGGAGGAAGGCTGTTCTGGTGATGTGTTTGATATGCTGGTCAAAGGAGAGGGTCTGATCGAAGATGGCACCAAGGTCACGGACACGGGGAAAGGAGAGCACATTGGAGCCGTCGATGGAGAGGGAGATGGAATGATGATGGCTTCTGACTTGTCACAGTTACGTTTGAGGAAGTTGGTTTGAAGCCAGGATTTCATTTCAGTGATGCAGTTGGAGAGTGAGTGGCAGGGGTGATGGCTTTGGTGGAGATGTGGAGCTGAAAGGGGTGGAGGTGAAGCAGTAAAACTGAAGTCCATGACGGTGGATGGTTTGAGATGTTTGTCCAAGTGGTGTTGCCATACCCTAGCAGAAGTTGTGAACACTGTACTGAGTCTCTGTTTCACTACTTTCAAACTGGTGGAAAACTAGAATGTTATATGAGTGTTGAAGTGTCATTCATTTATGTATTTGTTTATGTCATAGTAATTTTCTTGCATATATATTTATATATTGCTCATGATAAATAATATAATATGACAAGACAGGAGTTTTAAAATTTTTGAATTCTTTCTGGGTGAGGGTCCAGAGCCCCCTGCAGATGTGGTCCCCTCAGTGTTGTGTTTATGGCCTTGCTTTAACTTAATTAATAAAACCCTGTGATATCAGAAAAGCCACTAATGAGCTGTAGGCACAATAACTTCAGTCTGAAGCTAATGACGGGAGATATAATTCAGTTAAAAACGTTTACTAAAAAGGTTCAAATTACACTCAGTCACACGGTAGAAAGACGATGTACTCCCGTGTCTAATGCAGCTCTCTGCTCAACTAAACTGCACATGATGTAAATTACAAATTTAAAGGGAGCGTCATCATCAAAATTCAACATACATGCATATTAGTCCTTTTACATTTTTATACAATGTCAGGAAATGAATTTGACAGGATATTTGAATTAACTTTTTTGCTTTTTTTTGCAGTTTTTCTTTTGCAGGCATTGAAATATACAGTTTTATA